GCTCATTTCAGCACCGGCGTCGATTAGCAAACCAATGAATGCTTCTAATTCAACGCGATCAAGTTCACTCCATTTCGCCGACTTTCTTCGATCAGCTCCAGTATTTGATCGTCGATTTTGCTGGTCAACTTGCACCCCAGCGTATTTGTTTGTTTGTAAGACAACTTCATTCAAAAGGTCATTCGTGAAAAAGAGCTTGAATGCTTCCAGTATCGTTTGAGTCGATGTAACTGGACCAGGTTTTCGTTTGAATATGTTCACAGCAGCTAAACGCCCAGCAACTGTTGTCCTTTTGGTCGACCACGTGACGCCGTTCTTTTCAATAGATTCAGGTTGAGTCTCGTCAAGTTTATCGTCATCACTGACATAACAATCAGATGAATCCTCTTCTTGCGAAATATGTTCATCAGCGGATGTGTCATTGGATTCGATTCCAGAAACATGATAGTCTGTATCAGAGTCCGATTCATCATCCTCAGGACTATCAATATCGAACTCATTGTTGCCATGTGAATCAAGAATCTCTCGAATTCGCTTCAAATTGTGAGCAGTGATCATCTGTTATCTAAAACTAGCGCATGTGTTCAACCTTTTGTGCTTCAAATTTGGGCTTTTTGATCTTAGTTGATTTTCAAGCACAAGGATCAAAGATATTGGATATGAATCGAAGCAAAACTAAAAGTATTTTGATCGAGATATAAAAGCTCGTCGTCCGCAGATGAAAAGACATCGTGTACTACTGAGAGTGATGAATGGGTGAATATCCTGATGAATAACTCCTCGAAACAGAAGATGACAGGCCAAACAAGGATAAAAACAGAGATATAACACGAAAGATGTCACAGGGTCCGGATGGACCCACCGTTTTATTTCTCTCATATAAGGCCTAGCAAAGAAACTTTGTATGGTCTGTATACCTTGTTAGAAGAGTAGCGATTAGAAAAGAGATCGGTCAGGAAAGGTCTAATATTGACGTAGCTAGGAACGAAAATTCACGTTTTGGGTCCCACTAGACCCCCAAACAGCGTACAAGGGTTAATCCAAACGGTATCACGGTGAATTGAAATAATCCCAGGTGAGTCACGAAAGCCGTTTTCTCTTTACTTTCTCCATCGAGTTCTACTTGCCAAAATCCTGAGCGTAAATCTAATGTGCTAAAGAATTGGGCATCGTGTAGAGCGTCGAGAGTATCATCTATGCGTGGCAAGGGATAGACATCTCGAATAGTGACTGCGTTCAGTCGACGAAAATCAACGTAAAAACGCATTGTTCTGTCTCACTTCGGCTGCAATGTAACTGGAGCTGCCCAAGGTCCAGTAGCGGGTTCAATTATATTTTGCTTTTGTATTTGAATCCGCTCTTGAGTAATATAGCCTCTGCGTGGAGGCAGAGCACGATAAGGTTGCTGTTTAATTGGTTTAGCGTCACGAACATCAGTGTGATGTTTAATGATGTTAGTCCGTCCCGGTTGTGAAGTGAATAGATCGGCGTACTTGAGAACTAAATCCCTCAAACGTTTTTCCTAAAGAAGCACTGGAGAGATCTAAGTCTCTCAAAAGTTGTTTCATTTTTGAGCTGCCCTAGAACAACATCAGGAATATTGTCCTACGATGGTCGATTCACAACATGTATCATTTCAACAACATCCATTATCAACAAATTCATATAGAAAAACAATAAATGATCCATTACCA